GGTTCTAATTTGGCAATGAATTTGGGAGATTAAGAAAACCCTCATTTAGATAACATTGGTAGCTTCCTGAAATATTTATATATAGTTAATATTTTACTTCCTGTCTGTGCATCTCTAAAACTTTAACATCTCATAAAAAAGCAGTAAAAATTGCTACATTGGGTTAAGATTAACCCCTAATGAAATTGTATTGGCTAATATTTGAACAGCTTTGTTATAATGAAACTTTAAATGTGGGTTGTAGATTTTATTTTCTTAGTGAACTAATGGCTTCTCAGATTTGGACTCCATTATTTCATTTAAAGAATCAGAACAATGTGTCTCCAATAAATCAAGACTGTGATTGACAATCTACCTAGAAAGATTAGGCAATTGGGGGATGATGGCTCCCCCCACACCCCAATAATTGCCTTTGTTCTTACAAGTGTGTTTAAATCTATTTCTGTTAATTTACAATTTGAAAGGTGGGTGAGGAGCAGAGTTTGAAAAATAGATTACTGTCTTCATTAATACAGGTTTGACCTACAAAGTCTTCACGTACTTAATGATTAAAAACCAAAGTACTAAATAATAAATTATAAGAATTTATAGGAGTCATCATCTTGAAATTAGCTTACTGAATGTTCTTATTATAATAAATCTGAGTGGGTGTCTAATTTAGTGTTAGCTGACTAAAATTATATGTTGCGGGCAGGGAAAAAAAACACTTTTGTTTGAAGACAAATGCAGTGAGTTTAATCACAGGTGATCTGAAAGGCACCTATCTTTCGCTATGCTCACTTCGCAGAAACTTTGGTGAAACTGGTTGAATGAAGATCGATTCCAATTAGTAAATCTGGCAGACAATAAAATTTCCCCAGGCCTCCGTGATGTTTGTGTTAACACTTCCTGTGCAGGGAGAGCTGATGCCCATCAGGTCTAGAAACTGAGCTAACAGAACAGGGAAGATAGCCTCTGCTCCCCAATTTCCAGTCTGTGGAGACCTTATCATTTTCCAGGTAGAAGGATGTTTTTGTTTGTTGTGGAATGTGGACAAAAGATGGACGTTACACGCCTGCCCCTCTTCTGTGTCTCCTTCCCTCACACTGTGTATAGCAGAAAGGATATGTCTATCCATCTGACAATTACTTACTGGGCCAGTCAGGTCCTATGCTAAGATCGGGTGATACAGGAATATTTAGGACTCACTCCTTACTCAGGTAGCTTGTCTTTCATGGAAGACAGACTAGGGTACAAATAAATTAATGGAAAATAGGTGCATATACAAGATACCTAAGAGGGAGTGTGACTAACTTTATCTCCAGTGGGGCAAGAGTAAGTTTCTTCCAGAGGAGAGAAGACAAATGGGAGTTTATTAAGGGCATAGAGTATCCAGGGAAGATGTTCTGGCAGAGGGATCAGCAACTGAAAGGTGTGGGGGATGAAACAGACAGTCTGTCTGGGCCACTAGAAATTCTACACTATTGTTGGGGCACAACGGACCAGAACAGAGTGATCAAGGATGTTATGACTTAGGCAGTGACCATGTGATGAAGGGCCTTGCAACAGGCCGGGACTTAGTTTTTAGGAGACAGAGGGGCACTAAAGGCTTTAAAACACGATTATAGTGACTTTATAATGAAGTAGAAATGTAATAATTCTCTTCCAGGTATCAAGAGAAGCTGGCATATAATTCAGTGATTTTTTTTTTCAAATTTATTATCTCATGAGATAGGATAGGAGAAAAAATATACACATGTATTCATGTATACACACATTTAAATAAGCAAATATGGAAAGAGTTTTTGCAAATTAAAAGAAAAATATGAACCTCCCAACAGAAAAAAAAATGGACAAAGTCAATGAATGGGAAATTCATTGAAGAAAATTGATAAACATGAAAAAAGCCTCAATCTTATTTTTAACTCATGGACTTGGAAATTAAACAATGAGATATTATTTTATACTGTGACATTGACAAAAATTAGGAAGACAAATGATTTCCCTGTTGGTAAGTGTGTAGAGTATAAGAGGGTATAAAAAAGAAAAGTTGTCCCAAATCTGGTCTGGAATAGAATCTTTTTGCATGTTGTAATTCACAGCCTCATTCCTGATAAATTGCTTAAGCAATTTTCTGATAAACTTTAATGGGATTAAGACTTGTTCTGAAAAATCAGTCACCCATCTAGCCAGCTGACTGTCAGTCAAGAGTCTAGGGACCTTAAACCAAATGTTCTTTTTTCTTTGTATCTAGCCTAACATTGACTATCTTATCACTCCATTTCCCTATAAAATGTCTCCACCAAGAACGAATCTCTGAATTGATCTGCTAGAGGCCTTTCCCTTGTAGCAAAACTACAATAAAACTTTGACTCATGCTCATAACTAGACTTTCTGAAAAGTTTCTCTTAGCCGGGGACAAGGACATACACTATTAAAAGGAGTATAAATTATTTTTGGTCATTTTGGAGAGCAAGTTGACAGTTTTAATACAAGTTAACCATACATTTTGATTAGCAATTTTACTCTGAACCAGAAAAAAAA